TGATCATAGCTGTTTATGTTGATGATCTAAACATGATTGGAACTCAAAAGGAGATTGATGATGCAAGAACTCATATGAAAGAAGAGCTTGAAGTGAAAGATCTTGGAAAGACAAAGTTTTGTCTTGGGCTCCAAATTGAGCATCTCCGAGATGGAATATTTGTTCATCAATCAAATTACACCAAAATGGTGTTGAAACGCTTTAGCATGCATAAAGCGACTCATTTGAGTACTCCAATGGTCAAAAGATCGCTTGATGTTAACAAGGATCCATTTCGGCCTTGTGAAGGTAACGAAGAGGTATTAGGTTCTGAAGTACCTTATATGAGCGCTATTGGTGCACTTATGTATCTTGCAAATTATACTAGACCATATATTGTTTTTGCTACTAACTTACTTGCAAGGTACAGTTCATCACCAACGCACAAACATTGGAATGGAATTAAGCATATATTCTGTTATCTTCAAGGTACGATTGATTTTGGATTATGTTATTCTAGAAATCCCGAGGTTGGTCTGGTTGGTTTTGCAGATGCGGGATACTTATCAGATCCGCATAAGGCTCGATCGCAAACCGGTTATGTTTTCACTATTGGTGGGACTGCAATCTCGTGGCATTCACAAAAGCAGAATTTGGTCACTACATCTTCAAATCATGCAAAAATCATTGCACTTCATGAGGCTTCTAGAGAATGTGTGTGGCTAAGATCTATGACTAATCATATCCAAGAGATAAGTGGAATAATCATCAGCAAGAAGCCAACAAAAATATTTGAAGATAATGCAGCATGCGTGGTTCAACTCAAAGAAGGCTATATCAAGAGTGATAGAACAAAACATATCCCTCCAAGATTTTTCTCTTAGACTCAAGAACTTGAGAAAAACGAAGAGGCGGATATTCAATATGTTCGCTCATGTGACAACGCAGCTGAACTCTTCACAAAGGCGCTTCCAACTACAATATTCAAGAAACATGTTTACAATATTGGAGTGCAGCATCTTTGAGACCTGTGAAGAGAAAATGAGATCCATCTTTTCCAGGGGGAGTTTGCTGTTGTACTCTTTTTCCCTTTGTCATAGTTTTTTGTCCCACTGGGTTTTTCCAAGGAGAGATTTATAACAAGGCAGCACGCAACTTCACAATGATGGATACTCAAGTGGGAGTGTTATGAAAGTGGTGATTATCCATCATGGTGCCACCTCATGGACACTTTTCTACTTCATGTAATAAGTGGACACTAAGTTTGATTATTATCCTCATCACTATAACACATGTTATTAGCTTCCTATATTTGTGAAAGCTGTCTGTGTATTTTTTCCACTATAAATAAATTATTGTAGTAAAGAGAGAATAACAATGAAGTAACACACAAATTGTAAACACATAAAAAAGAACGTAAATAAAGTCTTTCATTCTCTACCATTATAATTTAAGTTATTTCTTTCCTATTTATTTCCAACAAATATTTATTTTTGTGTTTATTTAATAAAAAAGATTCAGTAGAAATATGAAATAATTTAAAAATATATAAAAAAAAATTAGTGTCATATATCAATTTATAAAGTGATATATAGCAGCATATTAAAACTAATTATAAAACAAATTTTACTTTATTAAAATAGATGAATAAATACCTAATTTTTTATCAGTTGACTCTTGTCAATACTCACAAATCCTTTTACAGAGACCAAAAATTGCAAAGATTAATCAATTGCAATGATTGAGCCACTAAAGCAGTTGGAATATTTTATCAAAAGGGTTGCAAGGATTCTCTTAAATCTGTCCATCTCATTTTATTTTTATTATTTTGCATAGTTTAGTAATAAAACTGATAATTTACGATTTGCATTATAAAACAATGTAATTTTTTGAATCCCTATCTGCAATACATGAACAAAAGGCTGCAATTGACAAATTTAAAGTTTCGGCCATTTTAATCAATTAAATATTCTTTTTTTGTCAAGAAACATATTCATATATCAGAAGTTAATAAGATTTGAATACAAGGTTTCTGTATCCAAAAAGGTGGATAAGAATTTTCAGTGTATATAAAACTGAACGTTGTATATTAAAAAGTTGGTTAGAAATAAATATTCAAGATAATTTTGCTAATAGTAATGGTATCACTGTGAAAAAAAACTTATGAATCAAATGTTGACATATAAAACAACCAAACAATACATACATGATTTATTTAGGAAAATGAAAAATAATGAAAACCAACATTGCCAACAACAAATTTCGTTTCATTCGCACGAAGGCAATAACGATCGATTCAGGAATCGACACAAAGCCAAATTTATTTATTTAAAGGGGGAAACATATTATATACAGAAGTTAAATCAACATACAACATATCATTATCAAATTGGAAGTCATGACTATGTATTTATTAAGTAACTGAGCTGAATAGATGTCTTTTAATAAAAAAACTAAGAGTATTTTATTTACTTCTTTAGAGCATCTTCAATGAGACTATATTTTTAAAGTACAATTATTTTCAATAATATTCTATATCTTACTTTAAAAATCAAAATTTCTATATGTAACTCCAAATTTGGAGTCATCTCTATTTTTTAGAGTAAATTTTTTTTCACAAAATACTCTTTTAATTTTTATATGTTTCTATTTGTAAGCAGACAAAAATTATAAAATTTAGTAGCAATAACTAGTTATTTAGTGAAGTTTTATTCGTGTGAAAATTTTTATTTGAATAAAATCATAATTGTATTAATTTTTTATTGAAAATAAAAAAATAAATAGGTAAAATTTGTATATTTTTTAAGTAACAATTTATTTAAAAATTAATAATTAAATAGAAATAAAAGATATTTGGAATATTTTTTTCTAGAATAGAAAATAGAGATAACCATTAACGATTGGGGCAAACTCATTTTCTACTTTTAAAAAAACTCTATTAGAGTAAAAAATAAACCATTGGAGATACTTTGTAAATGTCTAAAGTGATGATGCAATTGAAAATTTTATATCTATTAATTGAAATCTTTCTCTAAAATGGCCAGCATTATATTTTTGAGTTGAGGATAAAGCGAAACTTATGAGATGTTGTAAATTGCAGTTTTCTAGATTAATCAACCTTATGAAAATATTAAGTATTAAAAATTCATCTGATCTAGAATTGGTTTATCACATGAAAAAAAACAATCTAAGAAGAGTTATTTACCTCTATCGATTAACAGACGACAACGCAAATAAACAGAAAAGATGGTGGTGATAAAAGACGATCAAATAATGATTATGAGAAGTGATGTAAATGATAAATCAACGATTACGAAGCAATATATGAAAAAGACAAAGAAAAAATAATAAAATAGACCAACAATGATAAAAAAATCTTCAAGCAAACTAAAAAAGAAACAAAGCTGGTTTAGTTATATATATAAGTTGACAAAAACTAGTGACTCATTAAATGAAAAGATACAAAAATTGTTGAAAGTTTTGAAAAGTTACTCTGTTTCATAGGCATCTAAGACGAAGAATCAAATTAAGTTTCTAAAATTGTAGTTCAAAGGCAAAACTAAACAAATCACCATTCAAGTGTTCTATAAACCCTAAAATCTACTATAGAAACCAAAAACGAAAAAAAAAAAATCATAAACCACAATTAAAAATCTTAAAACTCATTGAAAACTATTCAGGAAGCTATTAAAGATTTGTAACATTCGATTATGTGACTTTCTAATAAACAAAACATATCCAGTTTTCACCGTTCACTTCTAAAACAATATATTATTAACTGTTAGATTGAAATCTTTTTTTATAAAAAAATAATGATATCAGTAAATATATTATATACGTTAAATTACAAAATCAGATTAAACTGAACCGTTGAATTAGAATTTTGTTTCTTATAATAAAATGATGATGTCAACGATTTCTAAAAGTGGGTTTGCTATTATATATAAATTTTATGAGTTTTTCTTATATAATAGTAAGCTTCTCTATTTTTATTGTGTCAATAAGTTTTAGATACTCATTTTTTGTAACTTTACACACATAACAGAAAATTAAAAAGTAAAAACCAAAAAAAAGAAAAAAAAAACAATAATCTTATAAATCAAATTAAGTTTCTAAAACTGTAGTTCAAAGCCAAAACTAAACAAATCACCGTTCAAGTGTTCTATAAATCCTAAAATCTACTATAGAAACCAAAAACGAAAAAAAAAAAAAAAAAAAAAAAAACCACAATTAAAAATCTTAAAACTCATTGAAAACTTCAGGAAGCCTTAGTCATATAGATCATAATCATATGATGCAGATTCCAAGCACCGAGTAAAATCAAGTCACACATAGTACCTGCGTTTTATTCCCCTCGACGTGAGGCCAACTTTTGTTTGTTTTTTTTCACTTGACATACAATTTCTCGAATTGATTAAGACTGTATTAGTAATATTATATAGATAGGTTTCTTTAAACATATTTTTTGGGTTAAATTCTTGAAACATATTTGACTCCAAAATTCTAGATTTTAATAATGTGGATCTCTTTTCCTACATATGATTATATTAATTCTATAGGCTAGAGCTTTTTTCCTTCCCAACATAGATGCTATATTATTCTATATGTACTTTGCTAAAGCTTAATTGGATTAATTCTAAGACAAGCATTTTAGAATGTCATAATATTAAAAGACATATAATATGAATATTTATCGACGAAAGATTTTTTTTTTATGGTTGTTAAAGGTTTAGTAAAATCTTAGGTTTGAAAGAAAAAGAAAACAACAAGTTACTTGTTTCTTTTAATTAAACAAAAAAAAAAATCGACAAAGTTAAAAGAGGGCAAACCACATATTTGAAGAAAAATTAAGGGGTCAGAAAATAATAAAAATCCCTAAAAATCAAAATTCGAAAGTTTTCAAATCTTGGTGCTTTTGTTTATATTTTCCGTGTTGTCCTTTTTCACAACGGTCGGATCACGGATTTTTACAATATAACGGCTCAAAACTTAACGCCGTCAGCTCCATTAGCGACTAACAAGTCAAACGCCAGGCGCCTGCCGTAACGGTTCTTATTTATTTTAAATTTCTTTTTAATCCTCCGAAATTTATTTTTGTGCTTCCCCTAATTTTCTTCGTTTTCAATTTAACCTTTTCTCTTCATAGAACTCTTGCGTCTTCCTCTATATTCTTCTTCTCTCTCGTCGGACGATAAACCACCATCGCCAGAAAAAACAAAATTCAAATCGACTTTGTTTGACGACTCTGAGATTGCTTCGACGAAATCGGAAACTACATTCATCCATTCTCTGTTTGATCGGTACATTTTTCCACTGGTAATTTCCTGTTTCCTCTCTCCCCCAGAATTTCTGGAGATTCAGAGTTTTTTAATCTTCCATTTTCGTTTCCAATGGCTGTTTCGGATTCAAGTTGTGCGGTTTACGCATGATTCTGGGTAGAAATTTCGATTAATTTGAAAAAGAAAAAAATAATTGAATCGTTTTGGTGGTGATTCGCTGAATCCTTATTAGTTTTTAGATTCGCATTGATGGAATCTGTGAGGTTAATCGAGAGTTTGAGTTATCCTGATTCGTGATCTAAGCTAAATCTGTGTGGATCTTTGACTTAATATAGCTTGATTGTGTTTCCCCTTGATGCAGGGATACATAGTTTTTTGTTGGTTGTTGCTTACGAAACTATAAGAAGGAGACGACTATATGGATTCAAATCAATCAAAGCGAGGAGGTTCGGTGAAATCTCCATGTCAAACTCCACGTTCTACTGATAAGTCGAATCGAGATCTCAGAGGACCTGACTCAAACTCGAATTCATTCAACAAGAATGAGAAAGAAAAGGGTGTGAATATACAGGTTATTGTTCGTTGCAGGTACTATTTCGAGATTTTCCTTTTGTGGCACCTTCTTTCTTTGCTTGTTGAGTGTCCTAATGGGGGATTTTGTGTTTTTAGACCATTTAACTTGGAGGAGACGAGGTTACAAACACCGGCGGTTCTTACTTGCAATGACCGGAAAAAGGAAGTGGCGGTGGCACAGAACATTGCTGGGAAGCAGATTGATAAAACGTTTTTGTTTGACAAGGTTTTTAGTTCATCTCAAGTTTTTGGTTTAATCATCTTGAAAAAGCCTTTTAGATAGTGTTTGCTTAACCCAAGCTCCTTGGAATGTGTTAGGTTTTTGGCCCAACGTCGCAACAAAAGGACCTGTATCATCAAGCAGTTTCTCCAATTGTCTTTGAGGTTCTTGATGGGTATAACTGCACCATTTTTGCATACGGGCAAACAGGAACTGGGAAGACATACACAATGGAAGGAGGTGCAAGAAAAAAGGTATGAAAATCCAATTTCAAGAACTTCATTTGAATCAATTTTTTTTTTTCACTGAATACTCATTAAATGGAACCTGTTTCTTTGCCAGAACGGTGAAATCCCGAGTGATGCAGGTGTAATCCCTAGAGCAGTTAAGCAGATATTCGATATACTGGAAGCACAAAGCGCTGCTGAATACAGTTTGAAAGTTTCGTTTCTTGAGCTCTACAATGAAGAACTAACGGACCTTTTAGCTCCGGAAGAAACCAAATTCACAGATGATAAATCAAAGAAGCCTCTGGCACTTATGGAAGATGGGAAAGGCGGCGTTTTTGTCAGAGGGTTGGAGGAAGAAATAGTGTCTACTGCTGATGAGATTTACAAAGTCTTGGAGAAAGGATCAGCCAAGAGACGCACAGCAGAGACTTTCCTCAACAAGCAAAGTAGTAGATCTCATTCGATCTTTTCGGTTACAATCCACATTAAGGAATGTACTCCAGAAGGGGAAGAGATTGTCAAAAGTGGGAAGCTGAATCTTGTTGATCTTGCTGGTTCAGAGAATATATCACGGTCTGGTGCTCGAGAGGTACACAAAAACCAGTAAAGATTTTCTCCTCTTACAATGTGTGATGATTTTACTAAGCAATATGAGAGTGAACTATAACTGCAGGGTAGAGCCAGGGAAGCTGGAGAGATCAACAAAAGTTTGCTCACGCTCGGACGTGTAATAAATGCTTTGGTTGAACACTCTGGTCATATTCCATATAGGTAACAGAAATGATTTTTTGCCTTCAGATATATATCTCTCTGGAAGATTAGAGTTTTTAATCATATGATTATACGCATTTAAATTTCAGAGAAAGCAAGTTGACAAGATTGTTGAGAGACTCTTTGGGAGGGAAAACAAAAACATGCGTGATTGCTACAGTTTCACCATCTGTTCACTGCCTGGAAGAAACACTCAGCACACTTGATTATGCTCATCGTGCGAAACACATCAAAAATAAACCAGAGGTTAACCAGAAGATGATGAAGTCAGCTATAATGAAAGATCTGTATGGAGAAATTGAACGTTTGAAGCAAGGTATCTCTATTTGTCACATATTTTGTGAATCCTCCATTGTTTATCAGATACTTAAATTCTTGGCTTACGTGTGTCTATTCTTGATCTCTTCAGAGGTTTATGCCGCAAGGGAGAAAAATGGAATTTATATTCCAAAGGAGAGGTATACTCAAGAAGAAGCCGAGAAAAAGGTGCAGTTCTTACTAATGAATTAAGTATCACTGTCATTTAACAATTTTAGATGATAGATTAGGACTTCATTCTGTATCGGTTTCTGCAGGCTATGACTGAAAAGATAGAGCAAATGGAAGAAGAAGGTGAAGCTAAAGACAAGGTGAGCAGTTCAGAGTGCAGTTTTGTATTTCTGTTTTTATCTGTAAGATTAAACTGCAGTTATGCTGACTATTATGAATGTTGGATGTAGCAAATCGTTGAGCTTCAGGAGCTGTACAACTCGGAGCAGCTTGTAGCTGCTGGATTGAGAGAGAAGCTTGATAAGACTGAGGTATTTATCACAAGTTTTTCTTCTGGCTTTGTTTCAGAACACAATTTCCCTTTCCACTGACATACTTGTACTCTTTTCTTCTTTTATTTCAGAGAAAGCTTCGGGAAACTGAACAAGCATTGTTAGATCTCGAAGAGAAACATAGACAAGCAGTTGCTACAATTAAGGAAAAAGAATACTTGATATCCAATCTCCTCAAATCTGGTAAGTTGGTTTTCATCTGTCTATGGTGTGGTTACAAGCTGAGTTTATTTCATTAGTTCAGATGATCCATAGGCTAACTTTATTCTCATATCCTCAGAGAAAACACTTGTTGGTCGTGCTGTCGAGCTTCAGGCAGAGTTAGAAAATGCAGCATCTGATGTTTCCAACTTGTTCGCCAAGATTGGTTTGTGTTTCTCTCTCTCTCTCTCCTCTCTTCTCTCCCATTGTTGCCATCACATTGTAAAAACTCACCAAGCTACTGATGATTTCCAGAGAGGAAAGACAAAATTGAAGACAGTAATAGATCCCTCATCCAAGAGTTCCAGTCACAATTGTTACAGCAACTCGAGCTCTTGAACAACAGTGTTGCAGGATCAGTGAACCAACAGGAGAAACAGTTGCAAGACATGGAAAAAGTTATGGCATTATTCGTATCTGCAAAGACAGAGGTAAAAACATGAACCTTCTTATCAACACATGTATCTTTGATTCTTTGTCCTTCACCTTCTTATTAACATACATACACAAAAACAAACTTTGTATCATCGCCTTCTCTTGCAGGCTACTGAAACACTACGAGGAAGCTTAGCACAGTTGAAAGAAAAGTACAATTCAGGGATCAAGTCTTTAGATGATATATCAGAGAATATGGATAAAGACAGCAAATCGACTTTGAATGACTTGAACTCGGAAGTGACAAAACATTCATGTGCACTTGAAGATGTAAGAAGACAAACAAACACAATCGTGTGTCAATTTCTTAAAAGATCATTCTTATAATTGACTCTTGACACTATGAACTGTTGCTGAATCAGATCTTTAAAGGATTTACTTCAGAGGCTTACGCATTACTTGAAGGACTTCAAGGTAGCCTTCACAACCAAGAGGAGAAGCTCTCTGCATTCACACAGCAACAGCGAGATCTTCATTCTCGATCAATGGAGTCAGCTAAGTCTGTCTCCATGGTGATGTTAGACTTCTTCAAGACTCTTGACACGCATGCCTCTAAGCTAACGAAGATAGCAGAAGATGCTCAAAACGTCAACGAGCAGAAACTATCTGCTTTCACAAAGAAATTCGAGGTTGGTTTTAGCTCTGATTCTACAACGCAGTGAGCTTTCTTTTGGACTAGATTTTGATTTACAGACAATATTTGGATTTTCTTTCGGTGATGATTCAGGAATCGATTGTGAATGAAGAGAAACAAATGCTGGAGAAAGTTGCGGAGTTACTTGCGAGCTCACACGCAAGGAAGAAAGAGCTTGTTCAGATTGCTGTGAATGATATTCGAGAAGGTTCATCTTCTCAAAACGGTGCGTTGCAGCAAGAAATGTCTGCGATGCAAGAGTCAGCTTCGTCTGTCAAACTCCATTGGAACACTCACATGGAACAAACGGAATCTCATCATCTCGATAACGTTTCTGCAGTTGAGGTCGCTAAGGAAGATATGCAGAAAACGCTTCTCAAATGGTAACAAAAATCACATTTAATCTTACTTTGTTATTAAATTGTTAATTTGGTTATTAAAATCCTTTTGATTTCCATAGTTTGGAGGATTCAAGAACCGGAACACAACAATGGAAGACAGCTCAAGAATCATTGGTCGATTTGGAAAAGAGGAATGTTGCAACCGCAGATTGTATTATCCGGTAAATGCAAACTTTAACAATATTGAATGTTTAATCATTAATTACATTTTCCAATTCAAAACTCATCTTTCTCCATTGTTATATATAATTAAAACAGAGGAGCCAAAGAGAACAATGAGAAGCTACGAGTTCAGTTTTCTTCAGCGGTCTCAACCACTTTACGAGACGCTGATTCTGCAAACAGTGATATTCTCTCATCCATTGACCGTAAGTGATTTTATTAATTAATCCGTTTTTTTTTAATAATCAAATTTGTTTGATTCTTTTATCATTTGATGAAATCTTTTGGTTTTTCGCAGATTCGTTACAACTCGATAAAGATGTATCCACGGATATTAATTCCACGATCACTCCTTGTTCTGGAAACTTGAAAGAACTTAGAACTCATCATGATGACAACGTTGTGGAAATCAAACAGAACACAGGGAAGTGTCTTGGTCACGAGTATAAGGTAACGGTTTTGATTGAATCATTTATGATTAATTTGGAGAAGAGAAAGGAAGTTTATGTAATCAATTATTATTATTATGTATTTGAAATAGGTGGATGAAGCAACAAGCTCAACGCCGAGGAAGAGACAGTACAACATTCCGACGGTTGATTCGATCGAAGAGCTTAAAACGCCGTCGTTTGAGGAATTGTTGAAGGCGTTTCGTGATTCTTCTTCATCAAAGTCGCCGAAACAAATGCAGCAATCTAACGGAGAAGCTAAACACGTTAGTAACGGAAGTGATCGACCTCCGTTAACGGCCATCAACTGAAGGAAAACGGAAAAGAGTGTGTACCGTGAGATTTATAGGAACACGGAAAAGAGTTTTTTTTGTATAGAAACAAATCTCTCCCATTTGTTATCGTTTTTTTTGAACCCACTCTTTAATTATTATTTTTTTTTACGTTTTTATAATGATATAAGAGATCAAATTCCCAAATTTGATTTATTTCACGAACTTCGAAGAATCATCTCATGAAGGAAAAAAAGAATGTAGTATAATTTTTTACTGCGAGGATTATAGTGTTCTTTTTAAAAGATATAATTAAAAATTAGTTAGCGCGCCTTGACTTATCCGAAAGGTGCAAGAACAAAAAAGCTAAAATATGTTCTGCTTCTCTCAGTAACCTTTTTTTTATTTTGTCAACGCTTCTTCTCTCATATATCACTTTTTATTGATCATATTTATATTATTATATTTTGTGAGGTAAACACCAATTTATAAAAATCATTTAAAGATCTTTCATTCCTTGTAACCATAGCAGGTTCAAGCGATGACCTAGATAAATCTGAAAGCATGTGCCATTTTCATGTATTATTCAAAATAACAAGTTATGGTAACTGTAAAAGAAATTTACACTAAAACCAACTTCAATAGTCATCTCTAGGCAGGGCCGGTTCAATATTTTTAATAGCTTTTAAGCAAAAAAAAAATTTAGAGTCTTTTCATTGATAAAAACATAAATTTGGGCCCCTAATAATTGATGAAACACACAAATTTGAGCCCTATTATTATCCTAATTTTGCTTGATTTGGTAAGTGGACCTGGGGCGGTTGTACCGATTGTCTCCCCAGTAAGTCGGCCCTGTCTCTAGAGGTCTAATAAAAGATTCTTAATAATATAATTGAATAAAAAAAATTATAAAGAGTGTCTAATGTTTAAGACCAGGTCTAAAATAAGATTTTTTTTAGTTAAGAACGGACACTTGTCAAGATATGAGTAGACAAAGTTTGTGACACCTAAAATAAGATCTTTTAATTCTAGTTTCTGAATTGCACTTCTATAATTTACTAGATATGAACCCATGCGTTGCACTAGTTTTTAATTTAAATTATTAATTTAAGTTCATGTTATAATTTTTTGTTTATTTTATAATTTACTAGATATGAACCCGTTTAAACTATTTAATCACGATATGTGTCAAAATCTTAATCGCAAAACTTGACAAGTGTCACGATCATGTGCATTACTAACATATAAAATTTGCTACATATTTCAAAGGAAAGTTGGCTTTCTCCTTTATTTTGCTTCCTCAATTCTGATTTTTTTATCGATTTATCAGTTTCTCAACTTATTCGTCAATTTGAGTCTATAAAAAAATTGGCCTAGTAAAATTATAACATATTTTATACATTTATAAAAATGTGAATAATATATTCTTTTTTCTTCTAAGATTAGTTTTTACTTTTTCCAAAAAAACTTCTTTTTCTTAATTAAAATATATTATTATTATTTAATTTATTTTTTTTTCTTTTAGATATTGTAGTGTTATATTTTCTTATTTTATTTTTTAACAATAGTGATATCTCCTAAATTTATATTTATTTTTAATTTAATCGTGATACATGTCAAATTTTAAATCGAATGATTCGCCACATACGGGAGCGGATCTAGAAGAAGTTTTAACCGGAGGCATTATTATAGAATTGAGTTAGTTGGGGGCATTACTATAGGATCCGAGTTAATCAAGAGACATTATCATGGATCTATTTAAAGAAAAAAACAAATTTTTTCAGGGGCACGTGACCCGTTGGTCGTAACGTACGTCCACCTCTGGCCATATGTTACAATCATATGAATTATAATAAGATATGTTTTCATGTATTATATTTTTAAAAATGTATTATATTTTAAAAGTTGTTAACATAAGTTTTTACTTAAATTTATTTAAAAAATTATATTTTTTTTGTTTTAAAGACACCTATCAAAAATATCTCCATTGTATATTTAAAAATAATAAAATACTACAAAGTATTGTATATACATAAAGTACATAAATTATTAATAATTAATTAATAAGATACACACTAAAAGAAGCTCACTGTGTTTAAAAAAAAAAAAAAAGACATTTATCAACATGCCATAGCCCTTTTGACGATTGTAAAATTAACACTAATACAACTTGATACTAAATTTTTGAATAGATGTCAGCAGATGTGAATCAAAGCGAATTAGTTTACGGTAAAAATATGATGTGAAGTTTGTAATCACTTAATTAACAAAAGGCTCAAAAAAGGTTTGTAAACGATCTCTTATTATTATTATGGGAAAATAAAAAGAAAAAGGGAGAGAATCATGGTACATATCAAAAGGAAAGGTGACCACATCAAAATAAAGAGTGAAGTTACACATTAGACAAAGGAGATCTTTCTCACTGTCTAGTCCTAAAGACAATAGCCTACACATGCATGCAATTACAGAAACCAAGACACCCAATTTTACAACTCATAATAACTCCCAACCCATTAAACATCTTATAGAAAGAAATCTTTATAAAAAGGAAACTACCCATTAGTTCTACTGCTGAGATAGAGACATAAGAAAGAAGAAAGAGAGGTGTAGTTATTCAACTAACTTTATCCAACGGCTATTACTTTACCCCCCAAGTACACGTGTCTTTGTCTTAGCCTTTGACATATCATACATGATACATGAATGAAACACCTGCAGAATCTCTTTTGTTAATGTTGTCTTTTCTTTAAAGTTTGGTACTGTCTTGTTTGGAGTTGATGGATGAGATTGGGAAGAGTTCAAGGGTTTTTAGTGGTATCTTTGGACTGTTCATCATCATCATGTTGCAACATGGTGTGGGTGATGATGATGAGGGATATGATGGTCGTGGGCCCATATCCATCATCATCATCCAATCTCCACCGTATGATGAGTTTGGACCCGTGATTGGTTTTTGCATCAACATCTCTTCAGGTCCACTTTTGGTGCAATAATATTCATTTACCACTTTGCTTTGAGCTTCTCCTCCTCCAACTCCCTGTATTTTCCAAAATAAAATATCATCATAAAAAAATAAAAATAAAAATACTATGGCTAATAAAATAACTTGTTATCACACTAAAACCAAACTAAATGAAGTTGTGGTTAAACATATTAACAAGTTAATATTCTCACTTGCGGCTTTCCATTTAGCCATATATATATAAACGGTTTAAGTAGCAAAAATAATGCTATTCTAAAATATATGAGATTAGTTTTCGGTTTTGAATTATCCGTGTAGTAAATCTTATATATAGTTAATGAGTTTATAAAGTAAAAATGGTTCTATCCATGTAAGGCCGATTCTGATTATTAACATTAAATCTAATAAAATTTTATAAGAAATCCCTTTAACCAAAAAAAACGAAGCAGAAGATTTATTACATACCTGATGAGAAAGACAAATGGGAGAGGGCTGAGAGCAGCAATTGAAAGACATATGATCATATGGCAGATGATGATGATGATGATTATGATGATGATGGTAAGGATTATGATGATCAGTGATGTTATTTATTGGTTGAGACATCATCGATATTGGTTTTGGTTTGATTTGTTGAAGTTGGAGTTGGAGTTGATGTTGTTGTTGGTGAAGTTGCTTGGCTAGTTTCTTCCTCAGCTTCTGTCTATCTCTCGCCTTATGGTTCTGGAACCAGTAAAAGACGTTTTTGCCCTCGATTCGTCCATAGAAAGCTAAGTGAGCTGTGATCTGCTGAATCTGCACCGCATTAGGAGTCCGTATACCGCTCCGGTACATCTCTTCCAAGATCATCAGTTGCTCCGGCGTCGGACACCACCTTGTTGAAGCCACCGGACTCATCTTTCGTTCAGACAAATATCAATGCTTAACTTGTGTGTGTGAGTATATATATTCTCTAATTGTGATATCTTCAAATAGAGATGCTTTGTGTTTGGATGAGGTTATTTATACCCGAAAATTTATATTATATGGTTAGAGAGAAAAATGGTAAATTTTATTTAATTTCAAAGTGCATTGGAAAGGGACGCAAGAGAAAGAAGGGTGAGACAAAAAATAAACATAAAGAAAGAACATTGTACTATATTGTTTTTAATGTTATGATGCATTTTACATTGATACTGCCCCATTCCATATGCTCCAAATTATTACGTACCCTATAAATTTGAATATAGTATATAAAGGAATATTTTTTTTTGGAATAACTATAGTTTTCACTTTCAATTTTTTTGTTGTCGGGAGTTTTCACTTTCATACACAGTAGAATATTAATAGAGACAAGAGAGATGATACCATATGCATATAATCGAATGGCAAATAATAGTGAACTAGGTGTGTATCTATTTCGAAATCTTTTGCAAATAATTAAACATCATTGGTTCCAACTTTCAAATAGAAGATACGATCACTTTTTGTAAAATAATATCAAACGTACACACATCTTCGTTGAATATCTAACGAGTAACGACATTCTTCAACTAATAATATAGTAAGAACTTAAGAAGAGAGGGAAAAGACAAACAGGAACAAAATTCAAAGAAAAACAATGAAGGTGCATGGGTTCTCGAGGTGGATCATTCAATAGGTTTTTTTTTTGTAATATTCAACTCTCATACAATTAATTAGGACATTGACACATCCGTCTCTGTCCAAACATGAAAACACAAATAATAATCTGTTTTATTTATTTTTCCTACATAAAAAACTCTCTCATACAATTAATTAGGAGTAAGAGCATACACAGAAATATAATAGTTACGTTCTCATTAACAAATAATAATAAAAAAAGAATTCATAGTTAATAAAATTTCCACAAAAAATAATAAACGATAAAGATCCACAGAATGTGATCAATCATATCAAGACCTAGAATAGATATATGTGTGTGTATGTGTTTGTATGTAGAGAGAGGATGGAGGGAGAATGAGGAGAAACTTAAATGATTATGTCATAATTACTTTATTATGATTTACTTCTCTCAACAGAATGACGTTGACACATCATATTTAAAGAAGAAAAAAAAGGGTAAATTATCTCCAATCTTTACATGGACAGACAAGTAAGTAAATTTGTACAACCATGTGAAATGAAACATACACGTTCTAAGTACCCTGTAGTCACATATGTATCAAAACTATTGATATGTTTTCATTAGACTCATACACTAGACATTATAATCACAACGAAAACAAATTCTACATTTAAAAGCATGATTATATAATTACTTTTTTCAATCTACACATTATATATTATGTAAATGTTCGCATGTGTTAATTATATATATCACAATTTTTATGACATACAAATGTGCTTCAGATATCACATCACATAGAATTGTCTGTTTAAGATCTCCAGAAACTGAGCATTTTGACTTTATAATGTCTGCATGCAAAAACATTGCATGCATTAGCATTCGCACCTATTAGTTGTCTATAGGCTCTAAAGCCTTGTCTATCTCTCTCTCTCTCTCTCTCTCTCTCTCTCTGCCCACTGTCAACATTCTTGATTCTGGAGATTCAATTTCTTTTGGGGCTAAATGATATTTATGGACTCATCTAGAAATAACGATATTTGAAATTCTTTCTTTTGTTAAAGAACGATATTTGAAATTCCATATTATAAATTCTACATTACTCAATAACATTTCAATTAAAAACATCTATAACATTTTCTTGTTAAAAAAAAAACTCTATAACTTTTTATATATTAAAAAAAACTCTTATAACTTTCCGTAAGAACTTGGATGTTTCTATGATTTAGTTCAAATAATATAATTCCCATTTATTGAACCCCCCTGTGTTAATAAAACACAATATTTGCGTATCTAAATGTGGGTTACCGAAAGAAAAAATAACTTTATTACGAATTAAAAACACAAAATGTCTTTTTTTAAGTTAAAGTAAAAAAAGTACACAACTGTCATGATCAGAAGGCACATATGCATATATGTTGTAGTTTTTTGTAGGCAACTAATATATATTGTATTCTGAATGAATTTCGTATACCATGAAAGTGTATGTATAAAATACAGTCTAAACAAGTTTTCAAAAGACATTCAGAAAAATCACAAGGTTTTGATCTGATCATGTATAGTCCTTGTACTTATTTTTAAGTCGACCACGTGATACCGACCTAACTAATTATATGATTAGTAAAATTAAGTTTAAAAAGTATATTGAGGTGCTATATCTATTATATACACTATACTTCTTCAATATTTTTGATATATAGAGTAAAAAAAACTAAGAGACAAGACTATAAATGCATGCATGCAGACAAATTGCAATTTGCCTCTGCATTTCCTTTTAACAGTCACTTTTTCAATTTTATTTTCAGAAATAAAAATTAGAATTTGTATCCACACACATAAATGCGTAGTGTTCTGTCAACATTCTTATTAAATCCTAAACTGTTGGTAAAATACCAAACAGCTCTTTTGCTGTTTGACATTTCCTCTCTTTTGTCCCCACTTATCTCTTTTTCAAACTAAAATTCTATGAGAACACTTCATTGCACAATGCAAGTTTTAATTTCATTCACGTACACACGTACGCATATATACTCATCTATAAACTAATTAAGATACGTAAACCTACAACAGCGACGTACCAAGAGATAAGTAATTAATGTGGACCATATGAAACTCTAATCTCAAAAAGAATGTCAACCTCATATTTTGTTTAAGTTACAAATTTTGCTACCTTAATGAACTATCACCTATTCAATTGAAAAAAAAAATGCAAATTATGATTTCATGTTTCTAGACAATTTTTATACTGTTGATTGACAAACGTTTTTTCAAAACTAATACCTGTAATTAAACAGTTTAACATATTTCTTACAATTTTTATCTGTTCATATTACAGATTAATTTTATTAATCAAAATAATACTAACATTGACAATAATATAGCTTCATAGATATATCACATTAGTATAATACATAAATTGATAGTTTGGACTTTGCAAAGCCGTGCCTATGTGTTAATAAAAGAAACTTTGGTGTAAGGCAGCAATTTTAAAAAGAAATTATAGGGCACCATTTTTGAAAAATAAATTATTTTATTATTATTTTATTAATCTTAAATGTGGATATAGGCCTATGTATGGATTTATAAAATAGAAGTTAACAATAAATCATTTGTTATTAATTTATTATTAAAGATTTAAGGTAAAGAAAAATTAAGCCATAGATTTTGTTTTCTTCTATTTGTGCATCTAACATTGAAAATTTTCAATTTATTAGTACAAAGTTTTCAACATTTCTTCAATAACTATTTATAATTAAGGTAAAATTGTTCGGTTTTGCTTTCTCTTCCTTTCAATTATTTTTTTTATTTATCTGAATAGTTTTTAATCATGATTGTTTAACAAAAAAAATTGTTAACAATTTTGTAGAAAAAGAAAGTAAATATATAATTTTAGAACTGTAATATAGTTTGGTTTTATTTATTGTTTTGTAGATAATAATCATATTTATTATTACAAACCATTTTTTTATGAATGAGAGCATTTTTATTCGTTTTTGGAAGGTATTAAAGTTGACACAGCTCTAAAACTTTGGATAATCATTTATTTCAAGTCGACACTTTTTATCTACATAAATATATATGTGATGGTAAAATCCAGTTATTTTATATAAAAAAAATTAATATGAATCTTAAAATTTTAAATAATCAAATAAAACTTTATCTGGATTTCTTTTAGAACATATGTACATTACAATTTTGGTTCCAAGACTTTTTATCATCTTGGTCTAACTCTAAATGATTCTCCTTCTGTCCTTCAGCCGTTGATAGACGAAACGAAAGATCCATAACACACAAGAGTTTCATAGCTATAATCCATTGATGCTCAAACAAAATTTATGCCATCGGTACTATTACTATATATAAATGATTTTTCAGTTTATAGCATATTTTCAAGGGCCACACAGGGCAGATCCGAAAACTTTTTGCCCTAGGAGCATAATTTTATATACAAAATATAATATGCTGATACAAAATATTATTTTGTAGAACATTATAAAAGACAAATAGTATAATATAACAAAAACATTTGTCAATCATAATATTTCTGTGTACGTACTTTTGTCTGTTTCACTAATTAGAATGATCACAAGTTCATATACGTACAAATTGGGATCTCATTCATATCAAAACTAATATTTCTGATACTATATATTATGAATATACAGTTTTGATATAAGAATTTTTCATATGAAAAATGTAAATATGTTTGACTAAATCTTTTTCCTAATTTTTATTTGAGCCAAACTGAACATTCATTTTTGGTCGAACAATTCTAGGAATCAACGATGAAAGATATATTTTTTTAACAAACAAACTTCTAAATAATCATTGCTAAAATAAAACAATCGACTGGAAAATCATATCGAAGGACTTTAGCAAATTAGGCACATTTAAGAGTTCTAGAAAATGAAAATAAAAAATAAAAAACAAACAAATGTGATTTGACGAGTGACTGATCAAAATATGGCAGACTACTGTCCGTACCTTTCTTTTCTAATTTCTGAATTGCTGACTTTTCTGTTCTTCTTTCTTTTCTCCCCCAAACACAATTTATTAATTACCAATCTTTTGGAGTCAATGCACTTAAATCTCAAATCTCCATACCCAACACACTTTTCACTCTTCTTCACACATTATATATATTCTTTGTTATATTCTCAAATAGTATTGTCTAGTGATTTCTTTTGAGTATGAATGGTCGATGTGTTTAATGTTTAAAGCCCTGTGGGACATTTCGGTGACGACTCTATATCATTATTCAAAGTATAACGTTTTAACACTTTATTTAACGCGTAGGAGATAGTTCACTAAGAAAATTTAAGTGCAATTTCCTGCTACCGTTTTTAAAAATTAAAATTTTGGTTTGAAGTGTTTTAGAGAATGGTATGAAAATGTTTTTTTTCTTATAGCTCATAATATTTAATGTTTACAACCAATAGTATACATTTATAGCTTATCAACATCATACACCGATCGATCACATGTCCTAAAAACATCGGATTTTTGTGTAAACCCGTTTTTCAACTCAAAGATTAAACTTGTGCCACTCGATTACCATTCTCTAACTCGTGACACCGTAATAATTAATAACTCATAAACATTATATATATATATATACGAGAGAGATCCTGTCGCATGTTTTTTTTTTTTTTTGAACATTTGCTTATCCTGTCGCATGTTAACTAATCAAATATCGTATATAGTATAGCTTATCGACATTATATATGTATTTTTAAAATTGAAGATGACTACAAGAGCGGTCAAAAGCAAAAATGTAGAGAAGTTATTGTTTTCCAATAGGGAAAATTTAAGAGTTTTACCTCTGTTTGTCTACATGGTGAATTATTTAAGGTGAATATTACCATTATTATTAACATATCAATATCATTATGCATATCGCTGTGGAAAATTAGCCTCTTCTCTCCTTAGTTACTGTTGGTGTACAGAAAACTAGCTAGACCATAAGATATGATAATTATATCCCTAAATTAATCACAAAGCCATAACTTTCCACATGTGTCATTTAATTTTCCAGCACAATTACTAAACAGTTGGAGATTTTTATAGTTTTTTTTTTTCCTGGCTCTCAAATAAATTACATACATAATAAACATAAGCCGGATTTTCCACAGTATTGGTAAATGAAAGAAAAACTCAAAACTTATTGGGCATAATAAGTGGCTACAAAAACTCAAGAATGAGCCCATAAACAACAAATGGGCCTTACAAGAAAAGGTTATGTAAGAGGCAGAGCATCAAAGGAGTGAAGAACTTGTTCCAACAAGATTCTCGTACTTGAATCCAATGGATTATCTGGATTGTCTGAATGAACAACGTTCAATAGATAAAGCTTCTTAGAGCTCACAAACGCAGCCGAGAAAACCCTTTTGATCCCTCCTCTCGTGCTATCAATTTTGTATTCAAACTCATACACTTGACCTTGTCCTTGTCTTGATCTCTCTCCCACTGATACAACTTCTGCTTCATTTGTGCTTTCCTGATTCAACAAACAAACAAAGCAAATCACAAAAAAGGCTTTCTCTTTTGGATCTTTTTTTTTGTTTTTTTTTAGAATTACCTTTCGCTTTTCTGCGTTGATGAGTTTATCAGCTACAAATTGAGGAGTACCAAAGTCTTCAAGACTCTTTATTCGGACAGGACTCACAACAACTCCTATGTTGTTGCTTCGTTTTTCTGGCTCTTCAAACAGAACATTGGCTCCTGCTTTCTCTACCTTTTAATTCAAATACTAATAAGCAATTCAGCATTTTGGGAAATACCCAAATTTTTCATGCGAAATTTTCGAATTACCTTAATCCACGAAGAGGGTACGAGAAGAGTGAAGTCATCTTTGGAATCAGTGTATCTTTCAAGATCTCCAGAGTCGTCTGTGATGGATCTGGCCTTATCTAACAAGAACCCACCATTGAACAAGATGGTGAGAATCGAGAGATTCAATTGTCTCTTGCTGAAATTGATGCCAATGGTGGTTGGTGAAGGGTTTTGGGTGTAGCAGAGGAAAGTTTGGATCTTCTGATGAGAAGAAGAAGAAGATGACAGAAGAGAAGAAAGTTTTGGAGGAGAAGAGAATTGAGGAGAAGCTAAGAAGCTTGACGACCACATTCTGCTCTTCCTTTCTCCTTATCACATTTTGCCGTTAAAGTCCCAATTTTTTTCAGAGGAAAAAATAAAATAAAAAAGCTATTCAATCTGGATAATTTGGATTTTCGGTTATACGAAATTAACTTACCAAACTAAACCGATGGTATAGATCACGATCAGATATGTTCAATCAGGATTTCAGTTCGGTTTTGGATCGTTTTTACGGTTTTCGAGTCCATTATGAATGGTTTGGTTCGATTTCGGTTTTCGGCTAGAAAAAATGAATCCATTTACACCACATTAAGATATGGTTCGGCTTTTGAATCGGTCATTACAATTTGGTTGGGATTGAATCGGTTCGGTTCAGTTCATCCTGATATAATAATCAAGCAGTAAGGTTAATTTCGGTTCGGTTTTGTTATATGATTTTACTAATTCGGTTCTGATTCATTTGGTTTATCCGGGTTATACACATACTCAGCGAGGCAAAAAAACTCCGAAGAACAAACAAAACTCTGTCGGTTTACTCAATGCCCACAGTCAAATTAACCGCTTTAACCACAAAATTTCTGCAGCTAAAGCTTTCCTGTAAACCATAGGAACTAGAAAGATGAATAATTTGGAAGACACACGTGTGGCACATTCCGGTTCGGGTTTTTGGTTCGAACCAGTTTGGTTTATACGGATTAGACAAAATATCGACGGCAAACAAAAGAAAGTAATCATAATTAAGGACAAAACTCCGTTGGTTTTACTCAATACAGAGTCAAAATTAACCACTTTAACCAAAATTTTCCTGCAGCTAAAGCTTTTCTGTAAACCATAGGAACTAAAAGAGAAATAATTGGGGAAGAAACACGTGATGATCAGATCAAAATCAAATCAATCAGACATAGAAGAAGTATCCATATTCCTCCAAAACTCAGGCACTTTGTGGCCACAATCCTCAAGAACATTTACCACCAAACCAGCCGGATAAGAAACCGCCTCCTTCTCCGTTAAAAAGCTGTGTAGCTCGCCGTGAACACTGTCTCTAGCCATACTCGTCAGAATCTGAACGTATGTGTCCAACGATGGAACAAAATCCGGAAGTAGAACGGTTTCAAAGTCCTTCATCACTGTTGTATCCAGCTGTTCTATATCAATCAAGCGTGCCAATGGCTTCCTGCTGAAGAAATTAAGACAACAAATCAAATCAAAAAGCTATGGTCTTTTCTTATAATAATAATAATAATAATAATGCAACCAAAAGTTGAGAAGGTCTTTACCTCTTTTTGACTTCTGAGATATTAGAGTCGCTATTGGCTGAAACAGAGAAACCGTTGAGTTTAAGTAGAGCCTTGAACTTTTTGAAACTTTCCTCCTTTGCAATAATGTATATCATTTTTGAAGTTGATGATGATTCCACAACCTCTGAAAACTGCCAAAACAATTAAACGTTGCTGTTACTATTGATCCAAATAGAAGAGACAACCACTTATTTCTGCATATTCTCCACTTTGTTCCTCGTCTCTATGGTAACAAGCTAATGTTATTCGAAGTATGTCATTGACGCTAGTTCGAGGAACTTGTGTGCGTGTGTGTGAGAATGAGAACTCACATTCACAAAACAAAATAACATATGGTTATAGAAAAAAATAATGTATATAAAATGAGATACCTTCTGCATCTTTTTTTCCTCTGAGGCGCAGACATTTACAGTCTGGATAATACAAGAGGCTTGACTTGCAACAGAATCACTGAGGGCAAGTCTGTTAATTGATCTACTCAAGAGGCTCTGAACGGCTAGAATATAGGAAGCGCTATAACTGTCGTTGAAAACTATAGACCGGTGTTCGCTGGAAATGGCTTGCTTAATGGATTTCACCGCGTCTAGATAACCACTAGTGCAAAGTGAGCCTAGTTCATCAATGACCTGTGCAGATATAAACATGTACGTCACTAAACACTCTTAGGATGTACAGGTCCCATAGCATTCTACATGGAGTCAGAGAGAAATACCAATTCGATACCCATAAAATATACACTTAAAATGCTAGATGCCCTCCCATTAAAAAGCTATAGAAAACTTCAGAATGAAGTTTGACACTAAGATTCTTCAGATACACTCAAAAGCAATCAATACTCGACCAAAAACACTGGGCAAAATATTCAGAATAGGATACCAAAACTCAATCCAAACCAGGCACAGCAGATAGAGTTGGTTGCTGGTATATTCTTAAAAGCTCGAAAAGGAACAAAAAGCTAACAAACATCATTCATAACATTATCTAAAGCCATAGATTTGGACGTGTTTATACTTTTAGTATAACTAAACAAGAAGCAGGAGAAGGGTTTAAGCGTACCAGCAATGAAACCCCGGATATATCAACACCCTTTACAGCAACAATCTCCAAAAGTCTCTCAGGTGTAGAAACTAGAAACTCAGGTTCACAGCTTTTCAATCTACAAAAAACCAAAAGGCAACTTGTCAGAATTAGAGGGAAAACAAAAAAAAAGGAGATAGTCGAATATATAATGGAATGGGTTATACGTACCCAGAAATCTGATGATCTAGTGCGGCTCCTTGGTGTAAGCTCACTGCGTGAATCCCAAGACCTTTCAGTGCCTTACAAACCGATCGAACCTACGCATGATCAAAGAAACAAATGGCTGTATCAAGCAAAATGCTAAAGGTGTATATGCATTTACGGTGCCTAATAATGCTAAATGAAACATAAACCTGAGATGCTTTGGACTGAGACGGTACGAGGTATAAGAGAAAAGGGCTGTTGCTTAACGAATCCTCCTGCTCCTCTTTCTCCCGTCTAGCGATAGCATCCGTTGCGGTCGAAACGATCCAAGCAATCTGATCCAAGGTGGAAGATGTCCCACTCGTCTCAAGAACATCTTTGCCAGAGTTAAAAGATTTCCAGAACTCAATCCCCCAAGTGCTAGTGAACAAAGACGTCTCGTGCATCTGATCATCACTGCGGAACAAGGTCTCTATTTCGTTCAAGCAAGTCATCAGAAACTTTGGTAAGCCATTAATGTTCTTCGCACCAGTGAGCTTCTTCTTCGTCTTCTGCTCGTCTCCTCCGTCAATGGACATCGGAGATGGTTTCTTCTTCTTCACCTTCTTCGTTTTCTTTTTGGTAATCTCCACTTTACCCTGCCTTTCATTGAAGGGATCTTCAGGTGTAGGGAGGCTAAAACACATTCCCTAAGATTCAATTAAGTAACGAATTCGTCAGCAACAAAGTACGAATTCGATCTATAGACTTCCATTTCCGATTTCAGAGAACGCTATAAATCGAATCGAAGAGGTGGATAAGAGAGTGTGTGTGTGTGTGTATACCTGACACATGCTGCGTTTGCCAGACTTGCGGCGTTTCTTGGCGGTGATTATGGCCGCGATGCGAGCAGATACGGTGGCGGAATCGTTCTTCCGACTCATCTTCTTCCTATTTAGTTTGTTCTTCTTCCTCGCCAAAGCATCGTCGCCTTTTGCCATGTTTTTACTTCTTTGGAGGTTTTTGCTTCGGCGGCCGTTTGCTAACACTTTTTTTTGGCTGAGCTTCTGAGATTCTGGTTTCGGGTTTCTCTTTATATTGTCGTGGTAAAATTGTAATTTAAGAGAAGTTTTGAGGCTATTAGTGTGATTATTATTTTCATTATAGAACCGGTTCGATTGGTGATAAACCGAAATTTTGCAAAATCATGTGATAGGTGAAGATTTTGAATTTTTAAAATAAAAAATTGGAACAGAGGATGGGTTTGATCCAGATTCTGTTTACTCTTAGCTTGCAATTCTTAATTATATACCCCCAAAAAAATAACCAAAAACTGAATCATTTGTAGTTGAAAATTACATAAACGTTAACTGAGAACATTAAACTGCTAAAAACTTAAGCTACTAGAAATGTTTTTTAGTTAATTAAGACATTTAAAACCAATAGAAACCAAAAGCAATCATGAAGAATCTGAGACTGGAGATGACTTAAAAAAGCTCATTATGACTGAAATTATTTGATAATATTGTCATATATTTGTATCAAAAACGCTCATTTAAGTCTTTATGACGATTTCAATGATCTTTGTTTGGTTTTGAATACTATAGAGAAGAGATCAATCGTAGCATACTTGAGAAGAGAGAACTTTGAAACCATGGCCACTACAATTTAAGATAAAATCTTGTTGATATAATAGAAATTCTAACATAAGACACTAAGTAAATTTAGATGAAGTTTATTGACTTGAAAAATAGATGTATTAAACTCCGTAAGAATAATAAAAAGAGAAATATCTTTTGATAAATGAGAAATATTAGTTGATTACAATTATGAGGTATAATGGATTTTTTCCCCTCTTAACAGCCTAAACCATCCGCTACGGAACCTCCACCGTGCCGGGGGACCAAGTAGGGCATAGCTAGCATAGGAGCCGACTCGGTGTCAGCAGCTTCGTGTCGCACTGGAGTGATCCAATATGTGGTTCCGCAGGTTCCACCACTTCTCTGTTCATTTCCATTCACAATATTTTTGATGTTTTTATTCTCTCTTTCTCTATTACAGATTATTGTGGTTTCTGACAATGCCATGCCTCCAAATGAGATCACGAGCATATATTGAAATCAACATTGTCCTCAAAGTTGAAATGAGGAAACTGGCCTGCAATCACGAGCGAGTGTTAACAAGCTGATCTACCATGGCTTCTGGCTCAACTTCAAAAACTCCTTCAATTATTAGTTGTGGCGAAACGGAAGAGGGAGTTCTTGAAGTTGAGGCAGATGTTATTAAAATTATTATCATCGTAGAACTCGATTTGGTTGGTGGTAAACCAAAATTTTGCATAATTATAGGTGAAGATTTTAAATGAATATTTATAATATTTTGAAAATTATCCATATAATAGATAAAATTATAAAGAGTTTAATAACATAACTTTTCTAAAACAATATATTTTGAGTAAAAAATAAAAGGATATCAAACCAATTAATATAGCATATATAAAAATTGTCCTAAAAGAAATGTCAGAATCTATAGACCATTTAAGAGCAGAATCTTTGAGAATCTTCAAAATATATGTAATAGCAAGAAAATACTGTATACAAACGGTTAATTTCTGCTCACAGTTAACCGGCAAGTGTCTATAACATTTCGGTTTACACCGGTTTGGTAAACTTCTACACAGTCACATTATGATATCCACGAACGGAAGTCCCGACTTTATATGAAGCCAAAATCGCCATAGCAACATGACTCAGGTTTCTTCAACCATTTTTGTTACTATATCTCTAGATATGCCTCGAAAAACAAAATTGTTGCTCCTACAAAGGAAGCATTGATTCTACAAATTAAAAAAAAAAAACTATTTCATGTTTTTTTTTTGTTTCCAAAACAAAAGAACCGTTATTGATTTAACTTGCTTGTTCTGAACATATCTTGATCTCTTCTTGCTTCTTCTCTTCCTCCACACAAACATGAGAGTACTCTTCGGTCATTTTCTTCACTTCATCATCGACTCTTGTCTCTGTCACATCAGACTGATTTCTCCTGTGATGAGGATCATAATTGGCAGAAGCTAAGTGATCCAAAGCCATTACTACATCCGATATCACCGGTCTCATACAAGGCTGATCTTGAACACACATCGCAGCTATCGCAATCGCTTGGTACAATGCTCTAACCGGATAATCTCCTCTCATCAACGGATCAACCATTTTCTTGAAATTCCTCCTATCTTTAAACAACGGAACCGCCTGTAACATTTTTAGGTCAAAAACAGTTAAGAGAAAGGAGAAAACGCAAAAAAGGTGGCAAAGTTTGAGACTTTATCATTACCCATCCAACTAGATTCTGGTCTTTACGAGCTTTTGCCTTATCCATGGCTTTCCTTCCAGTGATAAGCTCCAAAAGCACAACTCCGAAACTGTAGATGTCTGATTTGAAAGTGAGCTGTCCCGTCATTGCGTATTCAGGAGCACAGTATCCGTACGTTCCCATGACCCTCGTGGAGACATGTGTTTCGTCTCCGCTTGGTCCGACTTTAGCTAACCCAAAGTCGGAGAGTTTTGGGTGAAAGTCTTCACCGAGCAAGATATTCGAACACTTGAGATCACGGTAGATCACAGGAGGCTTCATTGTGTTGTGGAGATACTCCAAACCTCTCGCTGCACCAGCCGCTATCTTCATCCGAGTGCTCCACGCAAGCGGATTCTTACCATGAGGAAGATCTAAAACCAAAACAGATATTACGCTTGAGTTTCGTTCTGTAATAAGCTTAGAGAGAAAGATACAGAGAGGTACACTACAACAACATACCATGGAGGTGATTTTCAAGAGATCCTAGTGGCATGAACTCGTAGACCAAGAGTCTCTGAACACCTTGAGCGCAGAATCCAATAAGCTTTACAAGATTCTCATGATCAGCGAGACTTAGCGTCAACACTTCGACCACGAACTCTCTGATTCCTTGAGAACCATTCCGATCAAGTTGCTTGATTGCAACAGCCTATTCACAGATTGTTATAAAAACCTCTAACCAGCTGAATCTACATTACACAATAAAACTGGTTGAATCAAGAAACATATACCTGATCGAGTTTGTCAATGAAGCCCTTGTAAACTTTTCCGAAACCTCCTTCGCCTAGAAAACAATCGGACCTGAAGTTTCCGGTAGAAACAGAGAGTTCCTCAAAGGTGAAAGTCTGTGCTTTCTTCCCTGAAACTTCATCTTCCACATTCGAATCCTTCGCGTCCAAAGCTAATTGATCCTCTTTAGTATTTATCTCCTTGTCTACATCTCCGCATGGACTGACTTTTTAAGCAATATACACAACACACATCAAGATATGAATCAAGGATTGCAGCAAAACGATTAACCAAAAAATTAGAAATGATTTCTGTCTCCTCCAATAAGATACACAAAAAAACATAATTTATCTCTAACAAATCGATTCAAAAACCTCATTTCGGAAAATTTTCTAAATCAAATACCCAAAGCGCGAGATTCTGAATTTGAGAAATCAAAAAAATGATTTATAACTTCGAGAAATCCACACAATACCTGAGCTGGGATGCGTCTGAGAATCTCGATTTACGTTCTTACGGTCGCAGTTTCCGTCGACTGCGATTTTGTTTTTGGCAAACTCGTTGTTCTTCGTCTTCGATCGTTTGCTGGATTTCCCAGTGAGTCTGAAACAGCCCATCGCGAGACGTAGAAGCTGAAACGTATTGTGATACTGATGATCTTCTCCTTCAAAGACCCAGAAAAAATTCAGAAGGTGAAGAGAAAAATCATCAAAGAGAATTAGCGAAAACGGAAAATTGGATTCTGGGGAAGGAAGACGAAGAGTTACGGAAAGGAGAGAGAGAGGAAGGCAAAGTGAAAGATGCTTAATTTGAACTTTATTAAAGGAGGAGCGTAAATAATCCTCTACGGGAAGGTACACAGAAGATTTATTGTAGGGTTTTAATTTTATTTATTTATAGTAACTAATAAGGTGCGCGTCCAGTTAAATTCGTCAAAAGTGAAAAATGAGATCTTGACTATGTGGTAAACTGGGTCAAACCTTTTTTTACGAGTTGACTTAGCACTTTCTTTCTATGGTAAAAACTAAAAACTTCGTCTAGTAAAAGTAAATGAACCCGTTTAAATTAACTTTAGGAAGCAATATGTTTTTGATTCATGATAAATATATGAAGAAGGCAATTTGCAAAATATATTGAATCTTCTTAAATAGAGTTTCCTAAATGTTATTTTCTGGGGTTTAGTTTAATGATTATCATACATTAACGCATTTTTTTTAGTGAAATCAAAGCTAGATCAATGGTATTCATAGCTGTTAGATATGAGATTCGTACTATCTGTATAAGTCCGACATGAATTCTGATCGGCTCATTTTGCCTGGATCAGGTCGGTCAAATAAATGAATATCGTCGATCCGATCACCGGACTCCCGATGAACGATCAGACCAACATACAGACTGACAACACAACCGCTTCATAGAACACATGCGCGACATATCTGGTCGGCCAGACCGGAGAAACAAACCCGGCCGACCTGCCACAGCCACCTCCTATCGACATGGCCACTATCAACGGATCGGTAGCGGCACAACTACAGCAGGGCATGGATGCTTGCTTCGAGTCCCTCTGAGCCGAATAGATCGCCTACCGAGAAGACCTAGATCGCCTTCTCAACGCTAGGGTTCACACCCAAGAGCCGGCTAATCTCATCACGCCTCCACACCCACCGATCCGCAACCCAGACACTACTCGACTGGTCAACAACCTGTTCGGCACCACACCGACAAACGACCTGCAGAGAGTACAGATGGAAGGCTCGAACGCTCGCTCATCCCGCAACACCACAAGTGCCGACCTGACGACGGTTTCGGAGTTCGATCTTCTCCATCAACGTCTTGACGATATCAACAGCAAGATCCATAAGGCGACGACCTCGGCCCCAAAGTTGGACAAGATCCTCCAACAAACACAGCAGACCTCGTTCACATCGGCCATCACCAAGGCTCCTCTCAAAGACATAGGCCGGATGAAGCTACCTCCAAGTTAGACCGGCACGACAGACCCGAAGCGACACCTGACCGCGTTCAATGCAGTCATGGGGCGAGTTCGCTTCACCGACGAAGAATGGGACGCATGTCTTTGTTAGTACTTCGTGGAGACGCTCTCCGGAAGCGCCTTCACCTGGTTCTCGCAGCTTCCTAAAAACTCCATCGACAGCTACAAGGAACTCACAGCTCGGTTCCTTAAACATTATTCAATCTACATCGACATGGAGTCTACAGCGCTTGATCTATGGGGTGTGTTCAGGGCGACACGGAACCGTTGCGCGACTTCATCGATCGGTTCCGATCAATCGTTTCCCGATGCAGTTTGTCGGACGAGCTATCTCTCAACATCCTCATCAGGAACTTGAGAGACAATCAATCGTACTGCGTATGATTGAAAACCAGGAAAGCCAAAACCCTAGAAGATGCTTTGCATAAAGCAACCGGCTATATCAAGGTCAATGAAGATCGGGCAGCCAAGGCCAAAGCCAAATTGGCCGACGAGAAATCTTTGCACGACAAGAAACCCAGATCGTCGAATCAGGATGACTACAAAGAGCTTCATCAGCACTACGACAAGGATCACAAGAGCCGTAAGAGTATCAACGCCGCCAGACGACCAAAGAGGTGGAATATTTGGGATCGTCAGAGCGAGAAAGATCCAGACAGCAAGAAGCCATGGTGCAAATACCACAAGACGCAAGGCCATCATACCGACGACTCCTGCACTCTTCCGGCCCTCTTGCGGAAGGCGTGGGAAGCTGGTGAATGCAGCATACCGGAGCCTTGGAGCCTAACGCGGCAATCTGATGATGATCAGGACAGACAACCTGAGAGCGATCGAGATAGAAGATCCGATGCTGATTGTCCACCTTCGAAACGAGAAGGAAAGGAAGCAAAACGTGACCGTGAAGACAATCACACACCCCCTTCTTTATCCGACGACGTATCAACATGATTATGGGAGGGCTCCTCATGTGCACCAACTCGATCAAACGGCACGAGCGAAAGGCAGCCAACCCCCCGAAGGACGCCTCACCGCTGTACACAGATAATCTCCCGATCATGTTTACTGAGAAAGACGTGCAGAATATCGACCGCCCGCATAATGATCCACTCGTCATCTCACTTCGGCTCGGAGAAGACGACGTTTCAAAAGTAATGATCGATACGGGATGCTTGGTCGACCTCATCTTCATGGACACTTTATGCAAGATGAGTATCCCCGAGTGAGACATCAAGATTGCACCATCACCCCTCACCGGGTTTGCTGGAGATTCAATCTCCATGACCGGGACCATGACAATGCCCGTCACCGTAGGAAAAAAGTCCATCACGGTCACGTTCGAGGTCATCGACCGACCTGCGATCTATAACGCTATCCTTGGAACACTCTGGCTGAACGCCATGCGGGCCGTCCCATCCCCTTATTACCAGTGTATCAAAATGCCGATCAGATGCCGTATCTTCACCATCCGTGGTGATCAAACAGTATCTCGGCATTGTTACATTGACAATAAGCGTGCTCGCAAGGCATCGACGTTATTGATTGGTAATAGTAGCGACTTCGATCCACAGATAATCCACCACAAAAAACCGAAGAGCGATCTTATTGTTCAAGTCAATATCGATGTAGCCCACCCTGAACGTTGCGTTGGCATCGGTATGGAGCTATTGCCAAGTATGCAGGACGAGCTGATCACCTTCCTCTGGGAGAATGTTGCAACGTTCGTGTGGTCTATGGCTGATATGAAAGGCATTAGCCCTCAAATCACGAATCACGAGTTAAACATAGACCCCACTTTCAAGCCGATCAAACAGAAACGACGGAAGTTAGGACCTGAGCGGGCACAAGCCGTTCAAGACAAAGTAGATAAGCTGCTGAAGGCCGGATCAATCGCCAAAGTCAAGTATCTGGAGTGGTTCGCCAACCCAGTGGTAGTCAAGAAGAAGAACGGAAAGTGGTGGGTCTGTGTGGATTTCACAGACCTCAACAAAGCTTGCCCGAAGGACAGTTTTCCTCTCCCATGTATTGACCAGCTCGTCGAGGCTACCGCGGGCAACAAACTCCTCTCCTTCATGGATGCATTCTCAGGATATCACCAGATCCTCATGAATCCGGATGATAGTGAGAAGACTGCATTCATTACGGATCGAGGAACCTATTGCTACAAGGTCATGCCGTTTGGTTTGAAAAATACCAGAGCCACCTATCAGCGCCTCGTCAATAAGATGTTCGCCAATCAGCTAGGGAAGACGATGGAGGTGTACATAGACGACATGCTCGTCAAATCGACTAAAGCAGCCAACCACATCATCCATCTGCACGAATGCTTTCTGATACTAAACGAGTATGGCATGAAGCTCAATCCCCCAAAATGCACTTTCGCCATCACATCCGGTGAATTCCTAAGATACTTGGTCATTCAGCACGGCATCGAAGCCAATCCCAAGCAGATCTCAGTGATCTTGGAGCTACCCTCACCAAAGGATACTCGTGAAGTTCAGCGCCTGACAGGGAGGATAGCCGCACTGAATCGATTCATATCTTGATCCACGGACAAGTGTCTTCCCTTCTACCAGCTTTTACGAGGCAACAAACAGTTCGAGTGAGATGAAAAGTGTGAAGAAGTGTTCCTGAAACTCAAGACATACCTCTCGACACCTTCGATCCTGATCAAACCTGAAGACGGTGATACTTTGCTACTCTATATAGCACCGCAATCAGCGGAGTCCTAGTTCGAGAGGACCGTGGGGAGCAGAAGCCGATCTTCTACTTCAGCAAGACTTTGGATGGAACTGAGACTCGCTACCCGACCTTGGAGAAACTCGCTCTCGCGGTGGTCGTCGCTTCAAGAAAGTTGTGACCTTATTTTCCAATCTCACTCCATTGCCGTCCTAACCAGCCAACCTCTTCGATCAATCCTGCACAGCCCGACACAATCCGGATGCATGGCGAAGTGGGCCATCGAGCTATCCGAGTTCGATATCGAGTATCGAACGCGGACCTCAACAAAATCACAAATTTTGGCGGACTTCTTGATCGAGCTATCACCTGAGCTCTTGAATGCCGACCCGGCGAGTTCGGAGACATGGACACTACACGTCGGAGCATCATCTAGATTATGATCTGGAATCGGCATCCTGTTGGAATCCCCTACCGGAGAACTTCTCGAACAATGCTTCTGCTTGGAGTTTAGCACCTCCAACAATGAAGCCGAGTACGAAGCATTGATCGGTGGCCTCCGTCTAGCTCGAGGGATGAACATCCAACATATTTGGGCGTTTAGCGATTCACAGCTCGTCGCCAAACAATTCAGAGGAGAGTATGACGCGAAAGATGATCGAATGAACGCATACCTGAAGCTGGTATAACATCTAGCCGTGAAGTTCACAACCTTCGAGCTACATCAGATCGACCGATCTGCCAACACCAGCGCTGATGCCCTAGCTGCTATAGCGTCAAACAGAGACTCAGCCCTTCGAAGAATTATTCCAGTTCAAGGGATCTCCCAATCCAGCATAGTTCCGACCCAAGAAGTTCTTCAAATCACAGTCGACCAAGACGAAACTGTTCCTGTAGCAACCAATGGCGACCAGCCAACATCAGATTGGCGAATTGAGATCCGATGTTTCCTCAAAACTGGCGAGCTACTGTCAAAGAAGTGGGCAGCTCGGCGGATTCATGCACGCAGTGCAAGATGTCATATGCCGATAGACCGAATCAGGCATCCTGCTTACTTGTCTGCACGGCGACAAAGTTCAACAATGCATCAAGGATGTTCATGACAATGCAGGTGGAAA